GGGGGCGGCATGGGCAGTAAGGCTGGGGGGGCGCGGGGCTGCAGGTCGGGAGCGAGGGGCACTGGCAGGGCTGTGGGAGGGCAAGGAGCTGTGGGTCAGGAGTGAGGGGTACCAACAGGGCTGGGGGGGACTGCAGGTTGGGAATGAGGGTTACCAGCAGAGCAGGGGCAGGCAGGGGCTATGGGTTGGGACTGAGGGGCACTGGCAGGGCTTGGTGGGGCAAGGGGCTGCAGGTTGGGAGTGAGGGGCAATAGCAGGGCAGGGAGCGGGCAAGGGGCTGCGAGTTGGGAGTTAGGGGCACTGGCAGGGTTGGAGGGGCTGTGGCTTGGGAGCGAGGGGCACCAAGGGGGTGGGAGACTGTGGGTTGGGAGCACGGGGCACAGGCAGGGCTAGGGGGCTGTGGGTTGGGAGTGAGGGGTACCAGCATAATCTGGGGGACAAGGTAGTGCAGGCTGGGAGTGAGGGGCAGCAGCAGGGCTGGGGGGGCTGTGGCTTGGAGTGAGGGGCAGGAGCAGAGGCAGGGCATGGGTATATCACTGCCCTTTCCCATGATCCTATTACCTCGCCCAGGTGTCCTCTTTTTTGAAATGGGAAATATGGTAACCCACTGTGAGGTTTAGTTGCACTGATGGTACCACTGAACTGATGGAGCCTTGGACACAGCCTGGATGCAACCACAGGAATCAAGAACAAACCAGCCACAATGGCCTTAGAGTGACAAGTGCAAGGACAACTGCTCAACATACATTCAACGTAGATGACAGCGGCTGAGAAATTCCACCCAGAGCAGAGAAACGAGGGTGCTCTGTCTCAGGAATGCTTGAGGGCAGCTGCAGGAGCCATCATCTGGAGACGTGACACCTTTTCATTTCTGGGTCTGCTGCACGCACAGTGTGTGGGAGGTGGCACGGGCAGGTCATGCTTCTCTCTGGCCCTTTCACAGGAGCTGCAAAGTGGTAGAGACATGGCCCCAGAGTAGCAGGCAGTCTGTGCCCCGAACTGTTTGCAGTCTGAATAAATAAAACATCCACAGAGAGGTGGATGGGACAGACCCACAGTCAGAATAGGCAGAGGCAAAACAGCAGCTACTTCTGCTTGTTAGGAAAAGCTAAAGGGAATAGGGGAGGAGATGCTGAGAGGAAGGGGAAGCAAAGGGCGATGAGGAGGAGGGCAGTTCTGCAGTGAAGGTGAGGGAGAGGGAGAGAGGCAGGAGGGGAAGGACACAGCTGGTCAGCATAGAGTGCCAAAAATCCAACCAGGGCTGTAGGAAATCCTCTGAATGGCCATGGACTCATGTTTTGCTGCTTCTGCATCTTGTCTAGCTCCTCCCTGCAGGTTACCTCACGACTACAGGGAGGAAAGGGCCCAGGCCTAAATGGAGCCAAGCCAATCCCAGGCCTCAGCTGCAAGTAGTCAGGGACCTAGGCTGAGTCATCTCTCAGGAAGAGGGCTCCACTCACACTGGCCCTTCTAAGCTCAGAGCAGACCACCTTGCTGTGCCCTTGGACAGTTTCGAAAATACCACCTAGCCCCTAGTTCCTCATTCCTGTCTGCATCCTTGGTTAAAGCCTTAGGCTAAGTACAGTCAGTCAAAAAGCCCAAGGCTGAATCAATGCAGCCTTCACCGCTTAATCTAAGCTGCATAGATTGATCCAATAAGCAAGGGAACAGACATTCACTTTCAATTCTGGAAATAGAGTCACATGCCTGCAGTGGCCCTGGCCAGAAGCCAGGGGGCACAAGAGCGTGCCTCTCTGCTACACCAGACAGCTTGGGCAAAGGCTAGCTCACCCATCCTGCAAGAGGGGGGTTTGCAGGGGAGGTGCAAGGCATCCTGGGATACTGAAGGA